GTACGAAGTTTAGACAAATATGTGTACTACCCATCATTCCCACGCTCGCTGAAGCGCCGTGCGTTGCAGCTCCCATAGACACTTGCGCCAGAGTTCCCTCTAGTGCATATTAAGAAACTCTATGTGCGTCTTTTCTCTTCAGAGCGTCTGAGCGTGATCCTCCTGTAGTAGAGTAAGAAGTGTTCTAAATCGTTAAATACTTTTTTTGTGAATGCGCATTAGCTTACGTTGCGAGCTATTCGCTGGCGTGCATAAAGATGTCATGGTAGAGTACCCGGTGCTATCAATCACTAACAACTTTCTCTAAACACAAGTAGCTTCATAGACGTAACACGATGGCGTCGTTCATCTTTGTCCCATAGCAGACACAGTACGTAGTGCTCTAAATCGATATCCACTTTTTTAAACACACAAGTAGCGTACGCCTAGTACCCTAAATTATTAAGAACTTCTTTGAAACAGTTGTGTACTACCTCAGAAACGAAGCGTTACTTGCGCTTTTGAGGTGTTCTGCTGTGTTGCAAGAACACGTACAGTGAAAAGTTTTGTGAACGCGAACATGGAAGCGCGAGGCTTGCGCGCTCTGTCGGCTGGTGGCAGCGCTTTCAAGCGGGAGTGAGAGTAACCACAGTCTCTTTTCAGGCCATCAAGCGTTGAGCAAAACAAGCAGTCATTGATAAGATTGCAACCCCTTCCCCCCTTAAGGCAATTACGCAAGAGCCGGTAATCCTCTTGAAGGGGGAGGATGTTGCGATCTTGCCAGTGGTTCCATATCATCAATGACTGCTTATTTTGCTCGCCACGAGATGACGAGAAGAAATTGTTGTTGCTCTCGCTTGAACGCGCTGCCAGCAACCATCAAAGCGTACAGGCCGCATGCTCGCGTGTTCCTATCTATGAAAAAATTGACATGGTACTTCTATATCGGGCACCCCTTAAGAAATAAATGTGACCGCCGTAGACGTATGCTTGCTCGACGAGTGGAATTATCTTGAAAATCACGCTGCTCCCTACCATATATGTACCTTTTGTGTTACTGCCATGACAGCGTGCGTCTGCTGCTTAGGATAAAATAAGCGTCATGTCAAATAACGTATTGATGTTTACGTCAACATTTCACAAAGCACTGAACAGCACAGCTTCATCCGTTAAAGGATAACCAATGTGGACAAGCATTTTATCTTTGAAAACTAAGCAGATCAAGTGAAGCTGCCGTATGACCATTGCGACATTATTTTATGTGTGGTACACTTTAGGGGCTTGGCTTGCCATTCATCTATCAATCTTATGCGGCGTGAATATTCTCGCCGTCAAGTGCTTATCACAGGCCATAACAAGAGTAGCAATACTTTGAACAAGGTTAAAATGAAAGAGCACGGTCTAAAACACCGGAGTTAGCAGAAATGGTCTAGGATTAATTGAAAAAAAATAAATGAAACCTCTAAAAGATTTCAGGAAAATGCGCCTAAAAGTCGCAAGACAGGCAAGCGAGGGCGCGACGACCTCGCCGAGTCAGTGAATGCTTTTCCCCATAATTCGCTACGTATTGTGAGAGAAGCTTGACGGAATTCGGTAGAGGTGACACAAATCCTAACTGCCGTAACAACCAGGCTGTCGACAAAGCGCACCAAAAAGTAAGGTACATCCCCCACAAAATTTTTTATTTTCCTTAATAAGATTCTGCTCGTTCCGGGTAAGTCCTACTAACATTTACCCTAAACATTTTAGGCAGCGACGCTATCTTAAACAGATTCGTTGGGTTTCCATCATCGCGAATCGCTGGTTGCTCGTGCTGTCTGTGCTTCGCACTCCCTCAGGTTTCGCAGTAGTGCAACTGTCATGCGTTTTATTTTTGTTTGAAGATTGGAGGTTAAAACTGCGTACATTCAAAGCTTATCGGAGTGAAACGCTACTCTAAGGCACAATGCGTGAAGATGTGTGTAGATAAGCAGGTGCAGCGTGCGTCTATAGTAGCGTGCGATAACTCCGAAGTTTCTTGCAGCCGCATACGACCCTGTGCGCAGAGCGATGGGCTGTGACTTCATTGACTAGCGCACGGTTCATGTGTTAGCGTCATCATTGATAGTATATCACCATGTCTGAGAGTGGGCGTGCCATTTCAGAGGTAAACGTTTAGGTGCGACTGATAACAGCCGAAATTCATGTGCGTCTTGAGGGCCGCCCTCACAGCGGCCTGGCTATATTTAGAAAAATCTCCGTGCTGGTAAATGTATAGGAATGTTGTCCCGCAAGGTGATTTTTCTCTCTGTATACGGTAAGGGAAGCCTCCTCCTATATGGATGGACGAGAAGGCCACACTGGCTTTATGACGTTGGATGTGATAATGATCCCCGTAACTGTATAAGGGAAGCCTGCGCGACACGCCGCTTGGCCGTACTCGTTGCCCGCAAATGCAAAGAGCGTCAATTATCGTCGCCGGTGACCTATTCTACGGGAAGAGCTACAAGAAGGCATAATGCAGGCATCCATCTTGGCAAGCTAAGGGAACAGGTTGTGCCAAGGCCCTTTCTGAACTCAGCTATAGGATTGCCTGTAGGATTAGAGCTCATTACTGGGAGCGCGTTCCTTTTTGAGTGCCTATGGAAAGTGAAGATGGTCTATCTGCATGTACCCTCCGCTTGGATGTTGCTTCTTGAGCTCACTCCCCCACGCCCCCCCTCCATATATCTGGGTGCACTATGTACCCAAAAAGAGCAGAAATAAAGTACTGAAAGCGCACAATAATTTGCAGAGGAGAGGTGCCAATATTAATCTTTGTCGACCAGTGTTGACGTCCATGCGGCTTCTATAGCCGTCAATACGCGTAGAAAAAAGATGGTGCTGCCTTCGCAGGCCACCCCGCCTGCTTATAATTGAACACGACCATCAACTTGCCCGCGCAAATGAACACGACCATGCAACGTGCCGTTTTCGGACAGCTGAAAATGACGCGATTGCAAACACAAGCTCACGAGTCAATGGCAATGCCATCTACACATCTTCGAAAGAGAAACTTAAAGATAAACGCCCGGTTGGTCACTTCGTGAGAATTGATCTCAAACACGCGGAACGCGGCCCCTACATGACTGTTTATGTTTCTTTTTCTTAAGCGAGTGTGTTGATGAAACTTCAACCCACCGTGCACAACTGCTCTCATCAGCGGAACAAGGCTGCTGCTGAGGTTTCCCCTCGAATATTCGAAGAGGTGTTTTCGCAGTTAACCCATGCTCCACTTGCGAAAATACCATATTTTCACTCTCTCTTCCTCCCGATTCAAGAGAAAGAGAAGACAGAAGGCGGCAAGCAGAGGAGAACGCCCGGTATCGGCGTTTTTCCCAAATCTCGACGCCAAGTCGCGTTTTGAAATGACCGAGGTATAAATATAAGAAAGGCCTTCCTTCAAATGGCAACGTTAACTGACATTTCTTCAACTGTCCGCTCCCACCCCCGAGCCTCAACCTTCTTAAGAATGCCGGCTCTTGCAAGACTAAGTATTGTTAGTTTCAACATCTCAATTTTTATTTAAACAAAGCTATTCTGGCAGCTCCCACCAATTGTTGATATTGCGAAGACCACGAAACAACAGTTCATCATCTCATTTCTTGTAAAAAGTACACCACGTTCTACAAAATTTCATTAGGTGCCTTCATTCGATTCCTGAAATTAGATTTGAAGACACCCAATGTGGTTTCCTAGATGAATTTGTCCGTTACCGAGAGTGACGCCAAGGTGGTCGGTGCCTTGCAGATGTTTATTAAACGCTGAAAGAGATGCAGGCTGGACAATCAATCTGAACTAGTAGTGTCTTGGTTTTCCGAATTGGTCTTTTTGTTGGTTCAATTTCTGCACTTCTCTTGTATACACCTATTTCATCTTTATCTACTTTTAGCATTCGAAGTTATTGCTTTTCATTACTTTTAGAATTTTAACAGACATATTCTAACTTCAAAATCAATTTTTTTTCAAATTACCCAGTTTTTAGCCAATCCGCAAGCGTGATTGTGTGCACGCTTACAGTGTTCTGGTCTTCTCTGCTCTATCGTGCCTATATATGGCCCACAAGGTGAAGTGAGTTTGGGACCCCTGGTTCAGTATGTACATTATAACAGCAGATTCGTAATTATCTTTATCAAGGTTCGCTGTTGCACGGGTTGTAGGCGGTCCTGTCCTTAGTGACATTCGTCACATGAGCATCAGTCAGTCACAGAAGCCGACGCTTGTCGTGCCAAAAACACACATACTGATCGAATGCTAAACCCAAAAAAAGCGCATGATTAATTTGAAAGAGACTTTCCGGGCAGACATTTCGTGTTAACCTGAAGGGTGTTTGGTCGACAGCCATTCTGGGTTATGTGATGAACAGCTGCGCTAGTCCATCCGCCTATACAGAGTGGAATGGTTTATCATCTATAGCTTTAGGATTGGCACTTGCTCGAACACAGCGGCCTCGTTTAGCAGTAAAGGGGTTGGGGGCGGAATGCTCAAACCCTAGTGTACTTATGGTCTGGTTTCGATTAAAGTTTACTCCCCTGCGGGTACAACTTTAGAGGCCTGTGTTTCCTCCTCAAAGCCTTATACACACACACAAGCCTACACCATAGGACACGCAATAAAGCAGGACGTCAACAGCCGCGCAGCCGGTAATCCCGCCTTTGAAGAACATTGCCGAGTGCGTGAACGCGAATATTCTTGAGCGTGGAGTCCTCCTTTAGGGTTAACCTGATAATCATACATTGGGTTCGGCACGTAAAACTGCTAAATTTTATTAATTCTACGTTATTTGTACGTGACGCGCGCAACGTACACGTAACAACTCGACAGCGCTGAACATCCCGATAGAATGCAAACGAAAGCTGATCGTGCATGTCGGCCAGGTGCGCCTGGTGGGGAGTCGCACTCTTTTCGGATTGGCGCATCCACCCCAGCGTTATCCGATCACGTGACGTTCCTATGAAGAGACACTGGTATATAACGGAGCCCACGGGGAGACGTTCGGCCGGATATCGCACTCTGTTCTTCGATATCACTCGACGGACCTGCTCGCAAGCAGCCTCTCCTCTCGAAACCATGGACCTGGACCTCAGCATGCTAATCCGCAACAGCGAATGCTGTGGCGACGTTCTTCTAGTCTTCTAAGCAAGGCAGCCATGGTCCTCGGACAGCTTACACCACCCACTTTTTTTTCGCCCTGCGGATGACATCCAACTCGACCCATTGATGACCCAGCATGGTTTAGGATGTGAGTATACAGCTGTTCTTTGGCAGATTTTGCTTTCTTTTTAGGGGGAAGGGGGGGACAATTTTGAAGGATGCTCAGAGTTCTTAGAGATCGATGTTTCGAGAAAAAGAAGAAATTTCATGAAAAGTAAACCGAAATGCGTAGTCGTCGTTCACAAATAATTACAGGTAACATCGATTAGTAGTTAACCTACTAATATTCACGCATGTGTTTTAATCAATTCAGTGATGACACATCACAACTGGTTAACTGTAGTTGGCGTGCTTTCAATGCTTATCGACTCAAAATGAAATATGAGAGTGGGGTCTATTGTGCGATATGCACCACGAAATTTGCCGTATGAACGCACCCTCCAATTATTTCAAGTTGAATTTTAAACAAGATGCTGGTCTGCGCCTGACTGATGGAAATGTCACGCCTTATTGATGGATACGGGGGGGGGGGGGGGTTAACGTCTGAAAACCAACATATGGTTACTAGAGACAGCGTAAATGAGGACTGCGGAAATTTTGACCACCTGGAGTTCTTTAACGTGCACTTAAATCTGAGCGCACGGGCATACAACATCTTCGCCTCTATCGAAAAATGCAGCCGCCGCAGCTTCGGCTGGATTCCGCGGCCTGCGGGTCAGCAGCCGAGTACCTTAGCCACTTGACCACTAGGGTGGAGCAATTGTCTCATCTGTACGTGTGTTTCGTCCCGCTTCCGAAACAAATGACTCAGAAATGGCGTCACGCAAAAGATTAGGTCGAAGCTATTATGCCTTGCAATCTCTCCCGCCTATTATCAGGCTTATATTTTATTATTAGTAAATTTATGTTGCTAAACATGTTCTTAAAGTTACTAGACGTCCGCTGCTGCTGACAGATTACTCATGAGGGAATCTAAGAATATATTACAGTCTTCGAAAAAAGATGGAGAGCTTTGATACTTTAGAACGTGCAGCATAATAGGAGGTACACACACCACACAATGCTGCCAATATTAATTTTCATCATCATCATCATCATCATTCATCGGAGTGCTTCTTATTAAAGCCGAGAGTGAAGCGAGTGAGGCTTTTAAACAGGGAAGATGGGTATGGAGAGTTATCGTTGTCTGAACCATGAGCAGCACGACCACATTCACTTACAATATGTTTCTATAAATTTGTTTAAGGTTCGTTGGTTAGCTCGAAGTTGATGTAACACTTTTTGCCAGCTCTTCACTGCTATGCATAAACAATAAGACATCAGAATACTCATTACTGCAGAAAAACTTGGTTGCCGGCACACACACTGTATTATCCTATTCTGTTCCGCAATAAAGAGAGTGAAAAGTGCAGCTGCTGACACGTTTGTATCTAGATTGCAGATTTTCACAAAATTACCGCATATGTTTTTGACGTTTTGGTAAGCTTTACCTGCAGGCTTTCGGTAGCAGATTGTTGAAATGACGCGAGTTTAGCTTAACGAGATAGTTTGCGTAATGATGTTAGCTTTTGTTTACTCAATGTTTACATTTTTTTTTGCAGAAAGACGCCCATCTCCCGGCCTGTGACATGTCCCGAAAAGAACACCTCGATGCCATGCGTCGAGGTATCTTCAAGGAAGACCGCTGACTGAGCACAAGAATAGATGTCGCTACAGAATAGAATGAAGAATATTTCGCTACAACCCCTGTAAGGCGCCTCCCTACAATACTTGTATGAAAAACATTCATGACAAACTAAAACAATTTTGCAAATAAAAAGAAGGCATTCTGCCAAAACAAGTGTGTGTTTCTGGTCATTTTAGCGAAGGTAAAACACAACAAAGAGTCTTGAACTAATAAACTGATAGCGTGCCTCTCGTTATATGATTTATGATTATGCTGTAACTAAGACAAGGAGCGAAGTGGAAAAGCCTCAAAGGCCACAATTAGTGACTCCACTCGATAATTCACTGAAAATTCTGGATGCTTGAGATCTGCAAGCACGAAGTCATGTGTTCAGCCCATCTGCGCAGAGCACACAGATGGGAATAGGTCACCTATGTATTGCTTCTGAGAACGAGATTACAGATGCTCATTGTTGATCCGAAAGCCTTGAATAGTTTGATTTTTAGCTGCTGTGTTGCGGTCGGTTAACCTTATTGCCGACTATATTATTATGCTTTATACACGAAAAAAAATCGCAAGTGCATTTTTAACACCACCATGTTCAATGAACTTAAAGGGGTGACCACGAGAGCACCCAGACGTAAGCGACTACACACACACACACACACACACACACACACACACACACACATATATATATATATATATATATATATATATATATATATATATATATATATATATATATAGAGAGAGAGAGAGAGAGAGAGAGAGAGAGAGAGAGAGGAGAGAGATAGGCAAACGCCAAATGAAATTTATCGCAGTACGGAAAAAAACTTGAAAATGCAGATATTTGATGACCATGTTCGCAGTGATATCAACGATGTCTTTTGATTTTCTGTTTTTCACGGTATACCTGAACTTTAATAGATAATGAATGCTTATTCACGAACACATGTCTGCCCAGACGTTTGGCCTTTGGGAAGTGCACACCAGCGGCGTGTTGAGAGCGATCACTCTGGAACCCCTTCAACTGTTGGGGATTACATTAGGCGAGATTTATGTTTTGCGGGACAATTGCTTGAGACGCCCTTATGCAGTCAAGAATAATGTTCACAGCAGCTTGTCTTTGTTGTTTTTGCGCGTGCACACGCAGCTACGATAAATTATTTACAATAGAGCAGGAGAGCATAGAATACCTCAGCCAACAATATCTGCTGTTAATTGCTTCAATAAACAAGTTGTGTTCGGAGGGTGTAGCATCACAGTATCGCAACGTGGTGCCACTACTGGGCCGAATACATGGCGCAAAACTAAAAACAACGAAAACATTCATAGATGGGTAAGTGAACATGACCGATAGTGGCATTGAGTTCCCCCCAATACCAAACTTGTCATGAATATGAACCTATATTGACCTCTTGTCTCATGTCCTCTTGTCTCTTGTCTATATTGTCTCATAGTTATTCTAAATAAATATAAAGATTCTTCAAAGAATAAGAGAAAACCATCTTATAAGAAAGGATAACTATTTTAATTACCACCGATTGAACTATGTCGCGAAAGGCTGGGTTGTGGCAGCGCTGGTTTTCACCTCACTCGTCGTGACTAGGCTAGACTATACATGGTTACACTTGCTCTCTTTATTTTGTCTTATTTATCATATGAAGGTTTCTATCTCTTTCTCTTAATGCCTGAAAACTATGCTGTAGAACACGCAGCTCTGCTGTAGAACACCCATAGCGCATCTGAAATGGGCCAAATCTCACAACCCAAACCACTGATGGATGACAAAGTAACACACTAACGATGAACATCGATTAAGAGCGGCACATTGAAGCTTCTCTTGTTAATCGTCTGGACGACTGCGAACGTGCGGGTTTACAATGTATTTTCTATCTACAACGCGTGACAGACCTCATCTATAACAGACTTGCTGCAATATTTCGACACATTAGTGACTTGAGTCCCACTATGTGATATGTTAGAGGAAAAAGGGCGCCTGTAACACTGTATTCGACAACCTAAATTCAACACAGATTACCTCATTTCATTTCCTTGTTTCATATTCGCTTCGGAGGAATTGATTCTCTGTGTCTTTTCATTTTCAGATATTTACTATGGCTTGTGCTATTATCTGTTGCAGATTTTTAGATGTACTAGCCTGCATTCAAACACCCACTTTATCTACTTCATCTGGGTGTTCACTCAATAAGTGCGTTAATTGATTCAATAGATCATGTTAGCTTAGTTTGATTTTCTTGTTTATACTAGTCATATTGAGCGTTTCTTCTTCTCGGTACTTCAGTATCCCACTTGTGGATATACGTCGTAAAAGATAAGTTGTCTTCATTATCGTCATATGCAGCTATACTATTGGCTATCTCCACCTACAAAAGTAGCCGTCCTATATACCCATGAATACTTTCCCCTACTTGTCATCCCGCCCTAATATGTCTTGACAGCGCTTCGGTACAGCATAAAACAATATTGTGTGGCATTCTGTTCAAAGTTGAAAAAACATGCAAAGCTGCAGCTTTTTTTTTCAGAAAGCCTATATCAGCATATGAGCAATACACGTAGAGTAGCTACACGGCTCCAATGTCTGCAATCAAAGGCACAGATTCTATTTACACAGGCGTGGATGCATTGAAAACAACCAATTAGCCAATTCTACTTTCGTTATTACATTCGTTCAGTTATGTTTGGAGATTATGGAAACCGATGTCAAAGATTAGTTCAACTGCGCTATCATATTCCCTGTAAAGCACACGAAAAAAAAACCCCACTGTTTGGTGGATAACAAAACAGCACGTTCTTGATTAAAATTGCAAGAAAAAAGGCACACACACACACACACACACACACACACACACACACACACTATCGCCAATTCATTCGCTAGCCTGCCTTCTCTTTTGTCGATAGAGACACAACCATGCCCTAAAAAGCCAAAGTTCAAGCATCCCTCCGACTCCCATTTGCATCTGTATACCTGGAATTTTCGCTCACACCCAGCGCTGCTTTATCACCCACAACCAATGACTACTTCGCCACTGAAGTTTCTGCGAGGCAAACTTTTGAAACTTTAAAACCGCCATTTTAGGTTCAGTATAACCTAGAAGTAGCCAATGCATCACCACAAGGTGCCACAAATAGAGTTCGTCGATTGAACTGCTTGCACAGGGCACTAAGATTGTTCACTACGTCTGTGCTCAGAGGGGTATCGCAAAGTTCATCCGTTCTACAATGCAAGTCATTCATGGGTACTTGAAGCAGTCAACGGAGTTTGTACAATTTATCATCGCCATGCGCCTGAAATTCGAGTAACCACAGGTCTCTATTCAGAACTGAGATGAAAAGCGACAATATCCTCTTGCAACCGTGATAGATCGAGCATTCCGTCCACGAAGAAAGCAGAAAAAGCACTCGAGAGGCAAGGTTCGTGAGATCGTACGATCTGGACATCTTGCGTCAAGCATGTCTGCATAAGCGGAAAGATGCAGATTAAGACTACAGGGGTGGATACTATATTGACGTGCTGAGCAAGCTTTGTCGAGGGAACATTCCTTGCCCTTTTGAGAACAGAACCTTCTCAAGTGAGCCTCGAATAGATGGGAGCAGCAGTCAGCGTCGTGCAACCTCTCATGTGCAGTGCAGCTGCACTGACGCTTTACGTTGGCATCCTTCGTTATCTTTTCAAGGCCAGCGTGCTTTCTCACATCGAATGTCTCCCCATATAAGTGGTAGTGAAACGCGCTCTTTCACCACAACGTCAGCGATCCGTGCTGTAAGACGCTTTTCTTTCCACGCACCAGCGATCACTCGCCAAGCGAAACCATGGACGCCTACATCCTGGGTGAAAGCCAGCAACTGAGCGAAATCTGTGCAAACTTGGGCCTCTAGTCAACACGGCGTTTCGGGCACTGCTTTTTTTTCTTCTATTCGGGATCATGACATGACCATCCCGAAATCATCACGTAAGTTCAAGGAATGGTACTCAGTTTTCCAAGTGTCTTCACTCGCGGTTACATACGTATTGAAGAATCATTGACGGAGTTGCATATGTTTATTTTCTACTAGAAGGATGCATCACTTCACAAGTATTTCATTGATTCGTTCAACCATTGTTATGTCATTAACATTTATAGCTTGAGTAGACATCCTCATTACTTATAATTACCTGAGGAACGGGATCAGCTCGTGCGGCACAAAATTAGTTGGATGCGAAAGGCTGGGTCCTTGTAGATTTGACTCTCTTGAACGTCCGTTAGAACTTTTTCGGGGGTGATGGGCCGTGAGTTTCATTCCTTTATTCCTATTTGTTTCGCAGCGTTGAGTGGGACCGTTTCTGATGTTTACAAGTTAATTATCCAAAACGGTTTTATAATTTTAAAGTAATTATTTGAGTTTATGTTTGGTAGAACTCAATTGATACTTGAGTGATTTGAATTGTTTTCAAAATTGTAATGATATTACCAATAAATTAAGTATATGGGCCATTCGATCACAAACTTATCTATATGTATTCGTTGTCTGCATGTTTTTTCAGCTCATCATGCTTAAAGTACACATAGGGAAAGCTGCGCAATTCGCCTTAATTATTATTTGGATTGCAGGTATCTTGTAACATTGGTGATTTAGATCAAACCAAAACACAGGATACTAGTGAACCTTGCGTGTTGCCTATGATTCCATACAAAGCTAACGATTGTCACGAATCATCATTTCACTGAAAAAAGGTAATAATTGTAGAAACTGTGTGAGTGAAACAAACAATTTTTGTTATTTGTTAAAACCCATGAAGGGTGACAGGCCGTTCAACATGCGACTAACTCGCAGAGCTGTAACCTTACTTTTTTTTCCTTTTATTTGAGTAGTTCGCTTCTTTTTACAATGTATATGGCCAAATATTAACGTTATTGTTGTTTTTCTTTTCTGACATGACCATTTCAGGAACAACGAACACTGTACGTCTAATATGATTCCCTTAGAAAAGCACTGGACATTGTATACCACACTGAAAACAAGGCTTTGAAGACGAAGATGTACCAGAATATCCTGATAGAAACGTGCAGATGTCCGGAAGCGATCAGAAGAAAGCAGGCCAATACAGAGCTAAATAAACAATTTTGAAAAAAAGTAAATGTTATCGATTTCACCCAACGATGCGAATTTGGTAACATCGAGTTAAAGTGACAAATTCCTGGTCTCTTGGTTACGCTATCACATGCCTGGTCCTCTCAGACAGTTTTCTGTTCCTTCATAACTCGCAGTATAAATATATTGCGCATGCGCAATCAATCTCGTAGGTGCGCCACAAACACGTCATTTCGCTATATAAGCGACGGACTACGGAAGACCTTTCCTTTTCTTTCTTTTATATGCCACCTGTGTCAGATGACAGGCCTGTTGTCTTACATCACATCAGCGAACAGCAAAGAATAGAGACGTGCGTTGTGACCAGAAGAAGACATAGTTTGGTGAAACGTAGCTGGCAGTGAATCATTAGCAGTCTAAAAAGTTCCGAGGTGCTATAAATCTTTTGCATAATTCTCAAGTGCGCTCCCTCACGCTTTACATTCACCTACGTAAAGGCTGATGTTGTGCGCCGCGTGGAAAGGAGGTCCTGGTTGCATGTGCCGGGGCTTGTACGTGCTTACACAAAAAGATATCAGTCTACATTTTCCGCGTAGTAGCGCTGGCAAGCTGCGATTGAACACACTGTTTGCACAAGTGACTAGCAGCAATTAGCTGAGCTAGCTGCGTTGCAGGAAAGCTAGACTTAGGATTATTCCGTTCATGCCGAACCAAAAATTAAAAAAAAAGTATGCGGTTTCAGATTGGGAAAGAGCAATGCACTAGAATGCTGCGGTCAGAAAGCAACTTCCTATTCTCCTAAACCGTCTTTCTAATGCTCATATCTGTTCAGCTGAATACACGTAGTATGTTCGAACCCTTTCAAGAACAAAGGAGTAGTCGTGGTTTTATTTGTGTGTCCACATCTTCTTGTAGAACTTAACAAATACTCTCTGTATTGTGGAAACTCATGCAGTCGAGTTCTGCTAGTTCTGCTATGAGAAGGATGGAAAATGAAAGACTTACAAGTTAATATACAGTGAAAGCTTGGAAAAATTCAGTAGACGTTATGGCTTTGTGCTTTTTGTCATTAATGTCCAAGTCCAAAGTGCACTGATGTACCAGCGCGATACTGGCGCCAACATCGTGTATAGTTGCTATTTCAGCCCGCATTGCATTCCTAAATGAGTGCACAACCTACAATGATTTCAGTGAAACAAACAATTTTTGTATTTGTTAAAACCCGAAGGGTGACAGGCCGTTCAACATGCGACTAACTCGCAGAGCTGTAACCTTACTTTTTTTTCCTTTTATTTGAGTAGTTCGCTTCTTTTTACAATGTATATGGCCAAATATTAACGTTATTGTTGTTTTTTCTTTTCTGACATGACCATTTCAGGAACAACGAACACTGTACGTCTAATATGATTCCCTTAGAAAAGCACTGGACATTGTATACCACACTGAAAACAAGGCTTTGAAGACGAAGATGTACCAGAATATCCTGATAGAAACGTGCAGATGTCCGGAAGCGATCAGAGAAAGCAGGCCAATACAGAGCTAAATAAACAATTTTGAAAAAAAGTAAATGTTATCGATTTCACCCAACGATGCGAATTTGGTAACATCGAGTAAAGTGACAAATTCCTGGTCTCTTTGGTTACGCTATCACATGCCTGGTCCTCTCAGACAGTTTTCTGTTCCTTCATAACTCGCAGTATAAATATATTGCGCATGCGCAATCAATCTCGTAGGTGCGCCACAAACACGTCATTTCGCTATATAGCGACGGACTACGGAAGACCTTTCCTTTTCTTTCTTATATGCCACCTGTGTCAGATGCAGGCTGTTGTCTTACATCACATCAGCGAACAGCAAAGAATAGAGACGTGCGTTGTGACCAGAAGAAGACATAGTTTGGTGAAACGTAGCTGGCAGTGATCATTAGCAGTCTAAAAAGTTCCGAGGTGCTATAAATCTTTTGCATAATTCTCAAGTGCGCTCCCTCACGCTTTACATTCACCTACGTAAAGGCTGATGTTGTGCGCCGCGTGGAAAGGAGGTCCTGGTTGCATGTGCCGGGGCTTGTACGTGCTTACACAAAAAGATATCAGTCTACATTTTCCGCGTAGTAGCGCTGGCAAGCTGCGATTGAACACACTGTTTGCACAAGTGACTAGCAGCAATTAGCTGAGCTAGCTGCGTTGCAGGAAAGCTAGACTTAGGATTATTCCGTTCATGCCGAACCAAAAATTAAAAAAAAGTATGCGGTTTCAGATTGGAAAGAGCAATGCACTAGAATGCTGCGGTCAGAAAGCAACTTCCTATTCTCCTAAACCGTCTTTCTAATGCTCATATCTGTTCAGCTGAATACACGTAGTATGTTCGAACCCTTTCAAGAACAAAGGAGTAGTCGTGGTTTTATTTGTGTGTCCACATCTTCTTGTAGAACTTAACAAATACTCTCTGTATTGTGGAAACTCATGCAGTCGAGTTCTGCTAGTTCTGCTATGAGAAGGATGGAAAATGAAAGACTTACAAGTTAATATACAGTGAAAGCTTGGAAAAATTCAGTAGACGTTATGGCTTTGTGCTTTTTGTCATTAATGTCCAAGTCCAAAGTGCACTGATGTACCAGCGCGATACTGGCGCCAACATCGTGTATAGTTGCTATTTCAGCCCGCATTGCATTCCTAAATGAGTGCACAACCTACAATGATTTCAGTGAAACTTTTTTAGGTGAAGTTAAACATGAAAATGGCAAAAGAACCATTTCTTTTTCTATTTCTTGCCATTTGCCTTTCAGGTGTGGTTGATTGATTGATTGATTGATTGATTGATTGACTGACTGATTGATTGATTGATTCATATGTGGGGTTTGACGTCCCGAAACCACCATATGAATGTGAGAGACGTAGTAGTGGAGGGCTCCAGAAATTTCGATCACCTGGGGATCTTTAACGTGCACCCAAATCTGAGCACACGGGCCTACATCCTTTTCGCCTCCATTGAAATGCAGTCGCCGTAGCCTGGATTCAATCCCGCGACCTGCGGTTCAGCAGCCTTGGCACCAGACCACTGCGGTGGGGCGTCTTTTAGGTGTGGTGTAGTAGGCAGTGGGTCCGACTCAGGATGTGTGATTTCTCGCAATGCTCGCCCTCGTAAACTATCTTGCTCGTATACATTAAGTGAGTTGCTCAACTATTTATTTTTTTCATCGAAAGACGCAACACAGTCAGCAGCCCAGTATGTACGAATTTAAACACTCTGCAGTTATCACGGATCACTAATATGCACAACTAAGCATCCTGCTCCATCAGTGTTGATGCAGCAAAGTGGCCAGCTCTTACTCTTAGTTTCTCAAAAATTCGACTCTTCTGTAAATATTCAATCATTTGTACTGGTTTCATGTGATTAACTGAACAAAAAAATTGCCCGCAGCTTCCCTCGGGGGAACACTGAGGAGGATGCGGACCATATAATTGGTTAACGGGGTGTTAAAGTGCGACTTACTTGAGTCGATGGCTAAATTGGTTAACGTGGTTGTGAAATGGGGTGTAAATTGCGACTTACTTGGGTCGATGGCTAAATTGGTTAACGTGGTTGTAGGAGGGGGTGTTAAATGAGTGAACACGTACACACGTATGCGAAAGGGCGGCGCTGGTCGAAGGGACGTCGATCATTGTGTTTGTGGATTCGTTGGAATTCATTTCACCGCGACCTTGGACGTCGACGCGCCGTAAAACCAACCGACGAGCGGCAACTGAGCGAGCGAGCGCCGACCTTGAGTATATACACAGCACGACGGCGCATGCACTGTCAGTTGTTGAATGTTCTCGAAGCGCGACGCCACATGCGCGTCCACTGGAGAATCAGGAGAATTGTAGATGTCGAACGCGGTGGTGTAGAGGAGGAAGGGTGCACAGATGGTGGAGGAGTGAAGCGCGCGCGGTGTGTAGAGGAGGAAGGGATGCACAGATGGTGGAAGAGTGGGCGACGGCGCGACGGCGCATGCGCGCGCGTCAGCTGTCGAATGTTCGAGAAGCGGTGCGGACGGCGCGGACGGCGCACTACAAGGCGCGAGTATAAGATGCTCCGCATCTAAAAGAGTTCCATTGTAAACACAAGCTCTCTTTGGATCATCAAAACCATCGGCATGAAACGTGAAAAAAAAAAGGAAACGACGCAGACACAAATATATGCAGATGCCCCTTTAGACTTGTTTTTAATAATCATACACTGTAAGGTCTACTTAATGCCAGCAGCTATGAAAGTATTGCGCCAGCAAAATATAATGCGCAGATATTCTCTACGTGACCCTGCCCGCCGTGTCTTCAATTTCGCCGCAATAGATCAGCCAAATACAATGAACACAACGCCAGTGCAGTGCACTGATTAAGGATATGCGAACTGATGCCCAGCATCTCTGTGCCAGAAAAAAAGTGACAGCTCTCTTACAAAAATCCCATGATGTTGCGTGATCATAACGTCGATGCTGTACATGCTGGACATGCAACGCTTTGTCTCGATATATTGGTCACTATAGCATTCTGAAGAAGCCGTAACGACTGCCGTAGAGTTTATCATGCAAGCTGAGTCGAAGTATCATAATGGTGTTAGAAAACCTATAGAAAGAATAAACATTTGCAGCAATTCAGTGTAGCATTGCATCGTTTAAACATTTTGACATAAATAAACTTCTTTACAACGCGTAGGATTCTGTATTGTTCATACAATTGTCGCTTTTTTATTGCTTTGTATTACTTTGTCATCTCAGCTTTAACGCGACGATTGATTTCAATTGAAAGAAACTGCTACGATGTATTAAATGCTAATCATTTTTAGCAAACTTCGGTGACTTTGAGCGTATATATCTATAGCCGCTTACGCCTGGCTGCTCTTGTGGTCACCCCCTTAACTTGGCGTGAACCAAAATTAGCATGCAAAGGTAAGGTGTTTTGACGAATATGACGCGCTGGTCAAGACATGAGTAATGTCTCATTCCCGTCGCGTACGTCGTCAAACACTTCCCGCCAGACAGTGGCACATGCCCAATGGCGGGTATGTG